AGGAAGGAAGGAAGGAAGGAAGGAAGGAAGGAAGGAAGGAAGGAAGGAAAAATAGAGATATTAGTTATACCTAGGTGGTTAAGATTTTAAAAAATTCAGGATACAGGCAAAGTTAAGATAAATCCAAACCCCAGACAAATTTGCACCAAAAAACACATTAAATGAGAATGTAAACAGGACAGCAGTGTTAAGCTCAGCCAAGCTAGATTGCAAACTCTGCTAAACCATCTGACTGATATCTATTGGGCTGAATACCAAATAGGCCTAGAAGTTAAACTGACCACAACAAAGCTTCTCAATCAATCAGAATAGAGCTGGAAGGGACCTTGGGGGTCTTCTAGTCCAGCCCCCTGCTCAAGCAGGAGACCCTGTATCATTTGAGACAAGTGGCTATTTAGTCTCTTCTTCAAAACCTCCAGGGATGAAACACTCAACTTCTGAAGGCAAGTCCTTCCACTGATCAATTGTTCTCACTGTTCAGTAGTTTCTCCTCAATTCCAGGTTGCTTCTCTCCTTGATTAGTTTCCATCCATTGTTTCTTGTCTTGCCTTGTTAGTTACTCTGACAACTCTGCTAGTCATTCTGTTGCTTGTTAGTTCTTATCTTATTTCTCAAGAGCCTCTTGCTAATAGTGGATAACAAAACTACTAACTTGGGGTATATCAAGTTAGGTTCCTTGATAATATATCCAGATTGGTTGGCCATTTGTCTCTGAATGCATAGATGTCATCTCTAGAAAATCCTCCGGTCATGTTAGTTTTAATCACTTTCCTAACTCCCTTAATGACATTTGTAAATAACTAGAAGCATTTCTTCAGGAAACACTTTGAACTTTGACACCCAGTAATTTCACTAATTCAAGACAGGACATTTGTAGTCCGGGAAGTTGTAGAATGCTCTCTTCTTTTTTTAGCAGACTGTATTTGTGATTTAAAGCACATTTTTATTCTGAATATCAGAATTGGAAGAGACCTTGGACTTCTTCTAGTCCAACCACCTGCTCAAGCAGGAGAACCTATATCATTCCAGACAAATGGCTGTCCAATCTCTTCTTTAAAAATGTCTAACGTTGGAACACGCACAACTTCTAGAAGGCAAGTTGTTCCACCGGTTGATTGTCCTCACTGTCAGAAAGTTCCTCCTTAATTCCAGGTTGCTTCTCTCCTTGATGAGTTTCTATCCATTATTTCTCATCCTGCCTTCTGGTGCTTTGGAGAATAGCTTGACTCCCTCTTCTTTGGGACAGCCCCTCAAATATTGGAACACCGCTATCCTATCACCCCTAGTCCTTCTTTTCATTAGACTGGACACACCCAATTCCCAATTCTAATCCAGACAAAGGCATCCTATGTGTTTTCAGCAAGCAAGACTAGAAATATTTGATTGGAGTTCTTCATATTCTATTTAGAACATTAGTTAAGAGGTTGCAAGACTCCAATTCCATGTCCAATATGAATATTTGGGGTGGGTGGGGGGAAAGAAGTGTGTATCGCAAGTATAGGTTACTTCTAGAAAACTTCTTTCCTTCAGAATAATCCCACTTCTCTTCTTCTCCCCTCCAACCAAACATTTTAGGACCATGCAGCTTTCCAGATGTTAAATCTTGAAATCCAGCCTATTCTAGTTTGGAAGACAGCTTCTATCACTTGCAAGGGCTAAACTGTGTGGAGAAGAAGAAGGAGAAGGAGGAGGAAGAGGAGGAGGACGGGTGGGGGGGGCGGAGGAAGGCTTTGTGAATCTCTAATCTATATCTATGACCTGGTACATCCCTTTCAACCTGCCTTAACACTACCAGCACAAATAGCAATCATATTGCAAGAGACACCACTGGCTGAGACAAAAGTGATAAAAAGATTAAGAGGCACCTCTGCTAATTGTGTTACAAGGGAGGTTTTGAATATTCTTAACTTTGGCTGAATTCTGATCATTAAAGAAAGGGAGATGGTCAAGGATCAGCATTTTCCCATCCAGTGCACACACTCACACATTCATTTGCACACTTTACTTTTTCCTTTTTTGAAAACAATCAAATATAGATAAGCGTTAAAGTTCAGCTTTCTAAATACGATAGTGTACAATATTGTTTCGCCTTGTATAATTAATTACATTTGAATAGTCTCGATTAAGAAAAAAAATCACTTGGTTTTTTTTGTTTGTTTAAAAGAACGCTGCATTTACAGTGCATAGCTCTAACAAAAAGAGAGAGAGAGAGAGAGAGCGTCCTTTTTTCTCTCTCTCATACACTATGTACACGAAATAAAAATGCTCCATTTCTCAAATGTAGTCAGGTACATTCTTTTCTCCTTTCCTCCGTAAAGGTTACCCTCAATGGTTCTGTAGAGTAACGCCGTCTGGGTTCATCAAGGAAGAAAGAAAAGAAACCATCCCACATGCTGATGTTTTAATAAGGAGGATCTTGAAGTTTCCCTATGTTAGATCACTCTGTTTTGGGGACACACACACACAAACACACTAAATAAAAATTTTTTAAAAAAGGAAGTCACAATTAAAACAGCAAACTTTTAAAACCCTCTAGGACGTTTTTCGACCTTCCACTGTTTTCGTTTTTCTCCCCTGACAAGCAACCCAAGAACAGAGCATGGGTTGTTTTGCAGTATCCGCCGTTCTCTTTTGAGATTGTCATCCTCTTAAAACAACCCAATGTGAGAAGCTTGCTTTACGGGAATTTGTTTTTTAAAAAAGAAAGAAATGAAATAAAATAAAGCACCCAAACACAGTTGTGTATCTCAGATGCCAGCAGCTAAAAGTTTTCTAATTGCTCCATTCAGGGAAAACAAAGAAACAAATGCGCCATTATGTACATATTTTCTAAGTTTTGTTTGGACTCGATCTCTATGGAACTGCTGCCTCTTCTCAAAAACCCAACCACCTCCTTCACCCTGGAAAAGCAGCACCGTAACTTTAAAAAGAGATTACACTCGTGTCGTGATCAGTCCCAGCTGCCTTCTCTTCGTCTGCCTCGACTTGTGTCCGCGCAAACCACGTTTTTTTGTAAGGGAGAAATGCAGAGGGGGGAGATGCAGGTGAAGGATGGCTTCTTTACGGGCTATGACCGAACGGCACGATGCTTGGTGAGGTATTCCGCCAAATTCCCGCTCTCCTTCGCCACGGCCAATGTTACCTTCGGAAGCTCCGTTGCACCTCTTTGAGTAAACTATCGAAATCCATGGAGTCGTACTTGCTCTTAGTAGAAGCAGGATCGAAATCGTCTGAATCTGGAAGTAAAATAAACTTTTGAGGCAGGCTTAGGGGCCTTCTTCCTGACAACCTGACCCTACCAGCTCAGGTTTTTTTTTTTTTCCAAAACAGGTGGACTTTCAACTCCCAGGTGTCAGCGTTCCAACTAACCAGCTCCAAAAGCAATCAACTCCGAGACAAACATTTCCTCAAAGTTCTATTTTATTAGAGTTGTCCTATTGGCACATCTGGGAAAACCCAAATCTGAGAGTTCCAGGTTTTGCCTTCCCAAAAGAGAAATCAAAGATCCATCCCCTGCGTCCATCAGTTCATTGTCAACTCATAAAATATTTCCATGGTCTTTTTAGAACAGCCTAGAACAGAAGTGTTAAAGAACAGGCTCTTCCTAAGATGCCCTTCGTTAACATGAATGGAGGAACTGAATTGTTCCTCTTCCTTTCTCAGAAAACAAAGTCAATGAAAAAGACAAGAAAATAAGAGTTAAGAGCACCTGGGTTAAAATAAGTGGTAGATGCACATGGATCAGTGTTGTTGATCCATGTGCAGTCAAGTTGGATATCTTCAGAGGTCTTCCAAAAATAAACTGTAGATATGTCAGATATGCTGTCAACTCATAAAATATTTCTATGGTCTTTTTAGAGTTCCCAACAGAAAGGGAGGGGGGAGCAGTGTGGCAGCTTGCAAACCAAAAGTGCATTCCATAAATGTTTTCAAAGATAGTAACTAGGTGACTGAAATTTCTGCCGTGCAAAATTCGAACTGGAGAGCATGATTGATGACCCTTGGCTATGGATGTGTCCCATTGGAGAACATGAATTACAATACACCCAGAGGGATGGGGGAAAACCAGGGTCAAAGGTGACAATGAATTATGTGTCTCAGAGTTGGCTACACCCAGGCAGTGCTGGACCTTTTAGCTCCCAATAAATCCTTTTGAAGTTTGGCCCAATCAAATCTTCATCCCTTTATTGGAGAATGTGATTGATGACACCCAGCCCATAAATGTGTTTCGTTGGAGAAGCTGAATTATGATACACACAGGGGGCTGGGGGGAAGAAAGGGTCATAGGTGATTGTAGATTATGTATCTCAGAGTCAGCTTCATACAGGTCATGCCAGCATGTTGCTCCTAATAAATCTTTCAAAGTTTTTTGAAGTTTGGCTTAAGGATTATTAATTAAGGCAATTGCCAGAATCCTGACACTGGAGACATCCCTCCAGTCACTCCCCTCCAAGTGCAGGGCGACATGTCCTTGACGCTCTGAGAAAGAATGTTGTTGAGTCTAATCTTCCACCTCTCAATGAAATCTTCTCTCCCAAATTCCCAACCTCTAAATGTGACAGCCTCAAAGCTTCCAAGTCAAATATGGCTTCCAAGGCTGACACCAGATTTCCCTAGACCAGTGGTCCCCAACCTTTTTTGTACCAGGGACCAGTTTCACGCAGAAACACTTTTTCAAG